CTAGGGTTTCACTCCTCATCAAGATGTTTGAGTTCCAAGGGTCCCAAATGGTCTCCATTGCCCTAATATGTCCTCTAGATCATCCATTCCAAGTTTCATGCCTTGCACAACAAGTTTTCTCAGTCAACTGCTCAAATGCCTGAAAATCAACTATACTATGTCAAAAGTCAACTGTGGCCCAAATACAGCCAAACTTCAAGATTTTTGGTCAACATCAACATTTTGAAGTCATATCCATCATTTTATCAAGGGTTGATCGTGATTCCTCAAGAAATGCTCCTAATTCATCAAAAGTCAAAAGTTGCTAAATTAGGGTTTCTATAGGAAAAGTCAACCAAACTTTGACCAGGCATAACGTTTTCATACTTTATCAGAAATTTCTCATCCAAGTCTCATTTTGAAGAGAATCCAATTACCAACAATTCATCTTCAGCCCTCAAGTTCAATAAATTCACTCATGAAAAGATATAAAATCAGACATTATAGGTCCTTTTTCAAAAGCCAACAAAAATACCTTTTGGGTCAAAGCTTCTCACATGAACATGGAAGATCCAATTGAGATTAAACCAAAGAGGTTGCTTAGGGTACATCCTAAGCTTTCTAAAAAGTCCAAGAACACCCTCTTAGGGTCAAAATTGAGAGAGATAAACATTGTTAAAGTTGGCCATTTTTGGAAATTTGCATAAAGTCAACCATGCCCAAAAATTCATTTTCCTTCAAATGGGCCAAACTTTTTATGCTCGCAACACACTCCTAACATGGTTCACGACCCATGAACCACTCCATGCCTCACTCACTTATTTATTTAATTTATTTTAATTTAATTTATTTAAAATTCAAATAAAATCAAATAAAATAAAAAATAAATCAAATAAATGGGATAAGATTTGTTTTGGCATTGATTGAATATCTCATGATCTGTCAAATGAAGAAAAAATCGTGCAAGCTCAAAACAAGAGGAAATATTCAAATGTGGAAAGATTGGAATAAAAAATTAATGACTATTATATCTTGGATTCTTTCTAATTCTAATGACCTAGATTGATTCTACTACATATAACAAATCCTTTGCAACCCTAAGGACAAGATTACATGCGCAGCCTGCCTCCCACAAAGGAAGAAGAGATTTCAAATTTTGTCAAAAAAGTGTTGATGACATGTCCCTCCATAGACCGTTTCAAGCAATTCCAAGGAAACAACAACACTCCTGGACATTCACTGAAGCTATCCCACTCATTCCCAAACCTCAAAGCATCAATAATCAAGCATAATAACAGTCACGATTTGCTCCTTTTAAAACTCGTTTTCCTTAATTTTGGCATTATCAACATGTTTTAATCATTTATTCATGTTTATTATCATGTTTGCAATATGTTTGGATGATTTGATTTCAGTTTACGCGCAGGAATCATGAAACACCATTTTTAGGGTTTCAAAGCATGTTTTAGGGCTTTTTGATATAGGTTAAATTAGGCCAAACCAAGGGTATATTCAGGCTCAAGGGTCCATAGGTATAAGTCCAATACCTAAAACGATAGTTCTGGGAGGAAGATGATCACGTGGCAGCCGCACACTGGCTCGTTTGAATTTCGCGCCGTTTTTCTGGACAAAGCACTTTGCTTATGTTATAGTTTATTTGTATATTATATTAACAATTAAACAGATTAGCTCATATGGTCAAGCGTGCGTTTGAAAGTGGATAGGACATGGGTTCGATCCCAGGTCTAGACATTTTCATATTTTTTGAGTTTCTTATTTCAGATCCAGCGCATCTCACAACCAGGCATCCATCATGCGCCTCCAGATCCAACCATTGGATCTTCTTTCAATCCAGATCCAACGTTCAGCAAGCAAAGAACTTGGTGAACCCCCAGATGAGGGCTCCAATGGATCACGCGCAGGCAATTGGACCATCACACTTGGGCCTTGGAAATTTCAATCAGCACCCCCAGCTGAAGCTCATACAGGCCCATTTTTTATTCTTATTGTTTTTTTATTTCATTTTATTTATTTTGTTTTATTTATTTCTAAAAATCATTTTTTTAATTAAAACAAAAAAATCAAAAAAATCACAAAAAGGTAGGAATTAGATATTTTGCTAAAAAATAATTTTGTTAATTAAATAATTAGTATTAATTAGGGTAATTGGTTTATTTTTTTTCTATAATTAAAACCCATTAGGAAATTAGTTTTAATTCTTAAATATTTTTTCTTCAAATAAAAAATGCCAAAAAAACATTAAGTTTGTTTTAGAATTAATTTCAAATTTTCTTTTCTTTTTATTAATTAAATTTAATTGAATATTTTTTCCAAATAAACAAAATAACAAAAATAATTTCTTTTACTTAGAGCATTTTAGATTTTTAGACGTCATTTCCAAGTCGCACGCGTTAGCTACTTTCGTATTATTATTATCATTTATTATTATTGTATCTGATTATGGGTTGTAATAGCTTTTAATTAGGTTTAGTTTTACTATTTTATTTATTGTTTAAATTCCCCAATTTTTGGTTATGTAACCCCCTCTCCCGAAGCCCTGTAATAGCGTAGATTTTCTTTTCCGCTTTTAATTTCTGCAATTGTTTAAACTGTTTAGGTGTATGGATAATAGGATTGTATGTAAAAGATAAATCAAATGTTTAAAACAGTAGAACACCCTAACTGTGCAAAGATAAATAAACTAAAATCAAACACTTGTAGATGCTTACCCCTAGGGTATCTCCCACTTCGATTACCTCAGAAATACGATCACTATTCTCGAACGTGAGAATTCTTAGTGACTGTCCTCTAATTCAGAGATCGCAAATCCCTTTTGAAGGTTGCCTCGGTAAAACAAAATGCAATCTTATAACTTTAGGACAATTACTAAGAGATCTTGCCCTGTTGCCTTAAGTGACCGTAATCGTCCCTTTCGATTGTCCCTCAATCTCCAACGATGGAGCTACCTACTCCTTAATAGTAGGATAACACTATCTAAAGAAATAAGAAAACGAACAGTCTTTTTCGAGTAGGTAGAAACTCTTAAGTACTTGCTCAAAATAACCAGTTTTTTCACACTTACACTTTTCGAACAAAGTTTTCAAAAACGCTTTATCACACTCTTGAGGACTGACACAAGGGTTACCATAAAGTGAAACGCCGCACTAAGGCATTTTCAAATCTTTTCAAAACACACACAAAAGCAATTTCAAAATGAGCAAGTACCTAAGAGCCCATGGAAAATGATGGATAGAAATGGTGCTAACACCATCACTTTCTATAATCTACCCCATGTACTCAGAAACATCTCGAAAAATATTTTTTGTTCTTTTTCCCTTTTCCTTTGTTGGATAAAATAAAAGACGGTAGAGACTCTTGCTTACCGTAAATTTGCGAACAAAAAATGCAAAACCAATAGTAACAAAAAACAGTCAGTTCTGCCACTGTATTACAATACCGCTCAACATGTTTGAGAAGGAGAGGTATATTTTTGGTTCCACTTTTTCATTTTATATTTTTTACTCAAAAATACGATTATAATGATTATTAATTTTTTTGTTTCAGGAACGATTTCCCATAAAGCATGTTAGTCACTCGCGAAATTTTTTTGAATTGTTTAAACCTATGGCTGAGTGGTTCCATGCTGCTGTGTTTGGATCCAGAATTTCCAGATTATGTTGTACATGTTACAATACTATAAGCACTGGCATGCAGGGGGATTTTGCTGAGAGGTGGCACAAAGAGACATCGTCTTCTGACTTTCTTATTAGGGAGATGACCATCACACTTGATGATGTTGCTTGCTTGCTCCACCTACCTATCAGAGGCGGGTTACTTAACCATCACAAGATAACACGAGCTGAGGTGGTTGAATGGATGGTTGAGTATCTGGGAGCTGATATGTTCAGGGCATTTAAGGAATGCAGAGCCACTAATGAGGATGACCATGCCACTGATCTCTTGTCGGTCTGTCATCGGATACACCTACTTGGCCAAGAGGCATTGGATTCTGGTATCATTGAGAGGGGTGGTCCTGAGGCGGTTGCCATAGTTGGGAGGATGGTCAGTGAGGCATATAGTGCGGCTCAGTACACTCGGTAGAGGATTAGGCATACGCAATAGCCTATGTTATGTTTTTTATTGTTGGTGTAATATTTTGACCGTACTTACTTTTCAAACAATTTATGTACAAAATTATGTCTGAACCTCTAATATAATCGTTATGTCCGTATTGTTATGCTCGTTTTATATTTTCGAAAAAACCGTAAAAAATTTATCCGGTTATAAAATAGTAGAATGTTGTAGTTTTAAACAAAAATAACACAAACAGAAAAAGTTTCGCATATGCACATCTAGAACATTTTTCTCAGCAGGTTTCGCATGTACACATGCAAAACAGCCTCTAAATATGGTAAAAAAAGGTTTCTTCGCATGTGCACATGCGAAACAGACTGAGAGGTAACTTCGCATATACACTTATGAAAAGCATTTTTGAATTTTCATGGTGAAAATCACCAATATTAGATATAAAGAGAAATTTCCTTCACTTTAATAGAAGTCATAAAGAAGTCTTTAAGAGAAATTCCCTTCTACTAAATAAAATAAGATAGGTTAGTAAAACAAATCTATTTTAAAAAAGGTCTTATAAAAATGACAGAAAATACTCAAAAACAGAAGAAAATTTTGAAGTTACAATTTTTGGAAATTAAACCTTCTTTAAGATTACGAACTAAATTAAAAAAAAAAGCATCATTGTCTTTGAATTAACTTTGAGAAAATGAAAATTTGAAAAAAGTAGTATAACAAAGTTATCAAAATTATCGAAAGTTGCTTTGCAAGGACTAATCATATAGCAGTAGAAAAAAGAGTAATATGCAAAGACACAGAAGGGATACTTTCATTATTTGATGACATAGTTCATAATATACTCATAACAATGCCTTGGTGACAATTATTATTATTATTTCTTGTAGGTCTAATTTCAACCTTTATTTGGTAGCGATGAATCCATTTTCCATGTTTCAAAGTTGAACATGTTTGTCATGTTTCTGATGATATAATATGATATTAGGATGAACATCAAAGTCTCTAACAAAAGAATGATCTTCTTTTTCTTCAGTTGGAACTTGCTTGTCATGTTTCTGATGATATAGTATGATATTGGGATGAACATCAAAGTCTTTAACAAAAGAATGATCTTCTTTTTCTTCAGTTGGAACTTGTTTGTCATGTTTCTGATGATATAATATGATATTAGAATGAACATCAAAGTCTTTAACAAAAGAATGATGTTCTTTTTCTTGAGCTGGAACTTTAATAAGGTTTTTAATTGCTTCTGGCATAGCTTCCTCATTCATCTTACTCTTCCAATACTCTCCCAAATCCTTTCTTCCATAGCTCATGTTAGCAACCTATTAAATAATTAAAAGGAAACCATCACAAACATATTCAAATTATAAAAGAAAAAGCAATTGAGCTATTATAGAAATTCTTGAGCAAGAAAGCTTACCATGAGAAGAGAGAAGACAATTAAGAAAACTTGAATGGACTTCATTTTCCTTCTTGATTAGAGTATTATATTTATTTTTGAATGATATAAGAGACAATATGTGTCTCTATATATACACAAACATGATCAGAGCCAAGTGCATTGGTACCTGTGATGTCAAAGTTGGTCAACATGCACCATCAATTTAGTCAATTCAAAAAGACTTTTCATTAATACAGTATTAATTTGATTATAGTACCAAGTGAAGTGAAGTCATATTTTGTTAATTGGAGAATTGTTATGAATTTTATGGTCACTATATGAATGTGGACAAAATAAAATGACACCGACCAAATAAGTTATTTATTTAGTATTTCATTTTCCATCATTTTTAATGAAATCAAACTTAAAATTCATCAATTTTTACATATATGTTCAGTAAATTTAATTAAAAATAATAATTATTATATATACATTGTGTTCTATATAGCATTATCCCATTCCGTTTTCAACTTCAAATTTTAAGCCTTCGCTTGTAAGACTATTTGTTAAAGTTTTTATTTTATTAAACATTTTTAAAAACAAAATAATTACTTTTATAAATTTTCATGTGTTTCATACTAAATTCTTTTAATAAAAAATATGAATACTGTTCCGGAATGTCAGTAAGATTAAAGTGAAAGAAGACCATTTTTTTTCCTGTGTTGGGAAATATTTTCAACGAGAAAGTTGTGCTTATCGACTAAATAAATTCAACGATTAACTGCATCTCTCATCGTTTCACATGCGTGTAATAATTAGTTATCTTTTTTATTAGACTAGAAAAGTGCGTCATTCTAAAAATATTTAAATCTTTTTTATTTAAACTTCACTTTTTATTCTCTTAGTGACTTAGCGTTGAAGTTCTAACCTTGCAGACCAGTCTCATTTCCGTCAGCTCTGATATTAATAGTCCACATAACCATCATGAGGGTTTCATCGTCAAGGGGAAGAAGAGGCCAACTGAGGACCCAATTCTTGACTCGCCTGACGCGAAAGTTCAAAGGCTGGAAGAGGGTTCTCCTTCTACTGTCAACAAGGCAGGAACAACAATGTCCTACTTTTTTCCAAAAATTCCCCGCTGATTACCAAACCCTTTGCTCTAAATCGATCTCAGCCATTATGAACATGAAGGACACCCTTTTACTAAGGGCACTCATGTTACAAGATATCGGGCAGGAAAAGCGTGACAAAGTTGTGAAAGATCTAAAGGCGAAGCTCTAGGAGCAGACAAATGGCTATAATGAGAGTTAGAGGTTATTACAGTCCCTCCAACAAGACGATGCAAAGTGGGAGAAGAGAATGAAAGATGTTCAAGCAAAAGCCAAATAGATCTCTGCTGAGAAGAAATCTCTGCAAGAATCCCTAGATGATGTTCTCCTTCGTTAAAAGGATTTGAAAAAGGAGGCGTCGAAGTTGACCGACAAGGTGGTGTCTGCTTCCAGCATCTATTTCAAATGCGCCAAAGAGTAGGTCCTCTTCCACTATCCCATATAGATTTAAGCCTCCAAGACTTTCTCAAGGTCGTTCAAGGTGGCAAGTTGGTGGATGAGGAGCCAGTGGCCTCTTAGGAGCTTAGGCACCTCTCCGATCGCGACAAAGAAATAATAAAATAAGAGCTAGGGGTATAAACATAATCAGGGGCTAGCAAAGAAAAAAATGGAAGGCCCAATTGTTGGAGGCCCAACGCCTGTTTCAAACAAAAAAAGATGGAAAACGTGTGAAAAAGAACCAAAAGGGTACCACTGGGGCTCGAACCCAGGTCCCTAAGGTGACAGGCGCGCGCTTTAACTACTAGGGTGGTGATACATCCGTTAGCTTAAACAAAACAATAAATATGTAACATAAGTTTTTCCCTGAATGTACTTCATCTTCAACCTCCAGCCAAAGGACCTGTAACTTATTCATTTCTCATCCATTCACAAAACTTCCAACATCAAACTTGTTAGAAATTTCCTCACGATTCTGAATATGTAAATAACTTACGCTAATTCTCAAAGATGAGCATGAATTTCTAACAATACCAAGTTCTGACCTAAATATTTTCAGAAGTTTAAACTCAAAATTCTGCATACTCAAGCAACATAAATGAAATCTATGGACATGTATAGTTTCAGGGCAATGATTTCTACATTTTATCTTCACAAATGCAAGCCTAACAATGCCTAAATAATGAGATAGAAGTTCAAGAAAAATACCTCAAAACTGGAAATCGTGAAATGAGTTTGAGCTTGTTTTAAGTGATGGTAATGATCAGGTTAACTTCCTTGAGTCTCTAGGAAGCTAATGCAATGCTTAGCTTGAGTTAAGAGTGGTTGAAATAGTATGGAAAATTCCAACTGCAATACTCTGTTTTTGGCTATGGAAGTTGATGAAGATGATGTTGCAGTCTGCAAACAGGGACAAGGATGGTTTGTATTTGATGTGAGGAAGCTTTCGAAACTAAAAGGACAAGAAATGAACGAGTGGTTTTGAAGATTGAAGTTCAAAGTCAGAAATGACACAAAAATGGAGGTTTTGTGCAATTTCTGGCTTGAGGGAATTTGAGAGTGCTTAAGGGTGTTCAAACTCGTGTGTTAGCTTGCAAATAACTTGTATAGTTATATGAAAAAGGTTCCAGCACTTGAGGTGGTCAGAAGTACAAGATATAGAGTTATGGCTATGTTACTTGATTTTGAAGAAAAGTGGAAAACATGGTTTCAAGGCATAGTACAAGCATGGCCTGAGTTTATGGGAGTGTTTACCTTGGGTTTTGGTAAACAACCACTGATCCTCCAAATGGTTACTTATTTGGTTACTCGCAGGATCGATCAGATTGATCCTAGGACATAGGTTGATTTTGAAGTTTGATTGAATTGGATAAGGCTTTAAATAAATTGGCTTTAAATGAATTGCATAAAGGAAAGACTTGGTAAAATAAACAAGGCTTTAAAGTAAAAGGTTCGACAAGAATGTAAAGGAGAAAGCAAGTAAATTTCTGGAAAAGTAAATGACTTTAATTGATAAAATTGGTGTTTCACACATACATTTCTCAACAATTCTTTCTCACACGCTGGGTACTCGAATCTATATGAGTGACTTTGTATAGAATTGTGAACACACGCGAGAAACTACATGTCTACTCCTATTTATACTAAAACATCCCAAGTAACCGTCGGGCAGTTACACTGCTTCGAGATCAATCCACTTGGCACGTTCTCCATGCTCGACGCTCCAGATCCTTGCACGTTTGCACGTGGTAACTGCTGGAAACCGTTTTCCCTCCAAACGCTTGAATTTCAAACTGCTCCACTCTGAACCATCGAACACTTTCGTCAAGAGACATCTTCGACGAGAAACTCCTTCGACGTCGAAGGCAACCAACCTTCTTCCTTGGAAGAAATCTTCTAAGTACTTTGCCATCTTTCGACGGGCACTTCGACAAACTTAACCAGTCGAAGACATCCTTCAGTTTTAATGGCTGACATCAATCAAAACAAAGGTGTCGAATTTAGGAGCCAACAAATTGCCCCCCAAGAATGCCTTATTTCGACTCTGAAAGAAAAAGGCATTCTTTGAAACGCCATTCGACACCTGTCTTTCCACGCTTAGTCACAAATTAACTTGTGCACTTTTTGTTGCTTTTTACCAACTATTTGCAATCCCAAGAAAACCATCATTGATTTGATCCTAGGACGTCACTTTCAGTACGGCGTGCAGTACCAAACGTCATTTCAGAATTTGTCATTATGACCATTCCCAAAAACGAGGACGCACGCTGCATCCCTCTATTTCTGCAGAAACGGCTAAATCAACAGGGGGATGCCACGCGTCCCACTAACTCCTGCAGCATTAAATGGCATTTAATGTCCTCGTTATTGGGGATTTTTCCCCACTACTATAAATAGCAGCAAGTACCCCATTGTGGGACTTTTTACGCCATCTAGCCTTTCAAACTTCTCTGTTTTCATACAAGCTTGTTATCTTTGCAGAAACTCTTCCTCTTTCACTTCGTCCTCAACCTTATTTCAAACTTAACACTAATCCATGGCATCTGGTTCTACTGCTCCCAGTGCTAACGCACCAACTGAACATGCTAAACCCAAGGTTTTCGTCACTGCTCCGGTAGTAAATTCTACAGGTAAATGAAGGGTCCCTGAACCTTCTGACATCGCCGTTCGCGATGCTTATTCGCGCCACTTGATGATCCCGGTTGGATACTCCAACCAGATCTTTGCAATGTCTGGCCCCATGAATCCAAGTATTTCTGAGGCTCTGAAGATCAAGAGCTATTTCCCGATAGTCGAGAAACTCAAACCAGTCGCATGCGCCAAGAAAGACGCAGAAGACAATGAAGACCCTGCACGTGAAAAAATCGACCTCCGCTTCTTCAATAGAGGTGTTAGGGTCTTCAGGTCTTGCCCTAACCTTACTTCCGATTATGTTGCTTGGCTAACAAAGGTGGAGAAGCACCAAACTTCGATCTGGAAGGATATGGGAATCTTCGACCTAGTGATGCTGTCGAAGACAGGTTTGAACTACTCCCCGGAGATGCTGATAGCTTCATTGTTGTTCTGGGACTACTCCTACTTTACTTTCCATCTTCCCTGTGGGATGCTAACCCCCACACTCTTCGATGTGGCCGCTATTACTGGCCTTCGACCCACCGGGGATTACTTCGATCCGGAGGAGATGTCGGAGGACCAAATTGGCTTTTCTGAGACCAAACCAACATACACCACTTTCATCAACCATTATCACGACAGGTCGACAGATGCTGTGTCGGATGTCGAACACATAGCGTTTCTAGCCTTATGGCTGACTCGCTTTGTGTTTTGCTCGAAGTCTCTACAAGTGACCAAAAAGATGGTCACTCTTGCTACTCAACTGCATCACCGCCAAAACATCTGTTTGGCAGAACTGATTCTGGCTAGCCTCTATGATTCGATCAGCAATGGGGCAACTCTTCTGAAACATATCGAGGACAGGGCCAGTTTGCTACTTGCTGGGCCCTTTTGGCTGCTCCAACTGTGGCTCAACGCCACTTT